TGTAAGATCTACTAATAAACAAAAAATCGATCGAGATTTAGCAATATAATTTTCTTACTGAAAGATTAATACACAATGTTTTTCTTATGACAAAATAAGTCGCACATAGGATGATTTACAGGTATCGTGAAGATTTTTAATGACTGAAATATATACAAGGAGAGTTTGCGTACTTTAATTTTGCTTAAAAATGTATATTTTTTTAAAAGATACATGACTACCGAATAAGATAAGAAGATAATATCTCACTGCATTCTTATCATCGAACTAGTGTCGAAAAAGATGTTCGCTTATTGTAGATAAAATTTTATTTTTTGAGAAGATCTTAACGGAATTTGTGAGCTATTAAGGGTGTGAATAGACGCGGTTGTGGAGAAGTGAATAATAGAATATCTACATCCACATTTGAAAGAACGATATATATTTATCGAAATTGATGCTTTGTGCAAATTGAAGATTAATCTCAGATGAACATATTTTTATGTTTTTTTTAATATCAAAGTCAAAAACAAAATAAAATTATTTTAATTTTGAAGCGATTTGCCGAAGATTTTTATCAATTTCAATAACATCTGGATGTGTTGGAGGATATGAATGATGAAAAATCACAGCTGCTTTTTCAAAATAACTTAGTGCTTGTCGATAATCTTTGATAGTTTGATAAATCAGACCGATATATCTTAATACTGAGCCAATTGAAGGATGTAATGAAGGACGAGATTTTTTATATATTTCTAATGAAGAATTTAAATATGATAATGCTTGCTCGTAATGACCTAAACTTGAAAGAACATTCCCAATATTTTTATATGTACTTCCAATATTAACATGATCAGCAGGAAGATTTTTCTTAAGAATAACTGAAGCATTTTCATAATATTGTAAAGCATCTTGATACATATTCATACCCATATAAGTATTACCCATATTATTCATACATGTTGCAACATATATATGTTCATTACCAAATATTCTTCGAAATATTTTTAATGCTGTCTCATATGATTCTAATGCATTAGGAAATGCTTTTTTCTTTTGATAAGCATTTGCAATACTATTATAACTTTCACCAATACATTGACTGTCTGCTTTAAATGTTTGATTTCTGATTTTCAATGCTTTATAATGCCATTTTAAACTTGAATCTAAATCACCTCTTTCATAAGCTACATTTCCAAGTCCAGCATAACATTTATCAATATCAATTTTTGTAGAAGAAACTTCATCTAAATATTTTTCATAATATCTTTGAGCATCATCCCATTTACTCATATCTGTTAAAGCATCAGCAAAATCTAATAAATTTGTTTCGCCATTTTTGCCACGTTTTTGCATATGTTGATAAAGTTCTTTAAGACTTTGATCATTCATTGAAAATAATTTCATTTTAATAATTAAAATACCGTATTCATCGTATCTTATTTTAACTAATCGAAATATCGAACCAATCATAAAAAGAACTTCACGTTCACCAGGATAGAAACTTACACGTGATATATCACCAAATGCATTAACATTTTCAATGGTTGGATCAGCATCAATTACAAAACAAACTCGTTTATATTCATTTAAATTATCAGTTTTTAAGAAAAATTCTCGAGCTTTATCATAATTAAATGATGTTGAGAAAAATGAATTGATTGAAATAAATTCTCCAAGAGAATTTTGCATCATTTCAATTTCATTATTTGTCATTAATTGTGCACGATAAACACGAATTGATGTTTGACATCGATTTTTTGTTAATTGTTTACCAATATGACGAATTAAAAAACGAAAAAGATATAATAAATGAATATTTTGTACTCGAAGTGCTTTATTTAACATTTTATATAAAAATGAATCTCTTGTATACCACCATAATGCATGTTCAGATTTATATCCTTTTTCAAATTCATTGATTTTTTTTAATTCATTAGGATTTCGTTTATATTGTTGTTTACATAATGTTATTAATTCATTTTTATCATTATCATAATATTTCATTTTCATTAAACAATCAATTAAGATTTGAAAATGTAGAAAATCACCATTTAAATCGCTAGTTGATCGTTGTTTATCACCATTATTAGCATGAAGTATAGACAATGGTAAATGTTCATCTTTTTCATTAGTTTTATCATTACGAATTAGTTCAATTAATTCATCTAATCGAGTCACAACAGCTTTTACCTAAACAATTATTTTATTAATATTACATAGAAAATGAAGGGGAAAAAAAGAAGAATATAGGGTGTGGGTGTGGGCGTGTAATGAAAAGAATACTGTCACTGACACTCACATCCACCCATACCCTCAAGATCAATATTTTAAACTAACATTATCGACTTCTTTTTAGTGAAAGGACATTTCCGAAAGGACATTTTATGCAGAGGACATTTAATAAGGGGGACTTTTTCTGCAGGACCAAAAATCAGGGACATATTTGAAAGGATATTTTCAAAAGGATATTCTTGGCTGTATTCGTGAACGGGAAGGCCTTAAATCAGTCACAACTTTGAAAATCGGAGATATTACCACGACAGCAGTAAATTTTTAATTTCGATGAACATCTCTGCATAGAATAAAATGAGAAAAAATGATCTTTAATTGAGTTTATGGTATAATACTTTGTTAAATTGATTTGCCCATAATTGATTGTTTTTTTTATTTTTACAATAAACATAAATTGAAGCAAGTTGTCTTAATCCAATAAGTTTAGGGACGATAACAGAGCCAAGATGACCACTAACAATAAGAACAACTCGATCACCTTTATCAATAGATCGAATGTAATGAAAACAATCGTGTTCATTTTCAAATGTAACTAAATGATTAATTAATGTTCGTAGCTGTTCTTGTGCTTGAATATTTTCTGATGAATTATTTACTGATTGATCAAGCCAAATTAAAGAATATGTTTCATAATTTTGATTTTGTTCCATAGGATATGACGAATTAATTGTTAGAAGATTTATCTAAAATGAAAGAAATCGTATTTAATGTTAATTATTAAAGAGTATGAATAATATATTTTGATTCTCTTCTATTTATCAAGAACAGAATTACAAGGAGAAAAAAAACATTTGTACTTTTCTTTAGATTTACATTTGGTGTTAATTGAAAATTAACGAATTAACACGTAAAAAGTAAAAGAGAAATAACCACGGATTTCACATTGATACAATGGAGAAAACTGACAGTATTGTTTTACAAAAATAATGCTGTATGTTCTTTTTTTTGAGTATGAAATTGTGTTACTGTCCATAGATTTAATGTTTCTTTTATACAGATTGCTTCTAGACACAGCTCTTTGAGATAAAGTGCTGTTTTTGTCACGACTGTACAAAATAAACATATAGAAAAAAAGAGTGATTATTTTGTCAGGCTCAAGAGAGAAGGTGCTGACAAAATTTTAGCAGTTCTGTTTACCACGTTTAATCCAAAAATGAATATAGCGCAGTTGATTAAAGAATTGAACTGGTAAATGTACTAGTAATTATCTTAAATATAATAGATATATTATATTTTTTATGAAAGATAAAATAAAAATATGAATGATTTAAAATTTATATTGAATAAAAGGAAAAAATAATATGTTAGTTATTTTTTGATCAACGTGACATACAGGACATTGAAGTTTGTGTTAGAAGAAAAAATTAATTTTTTTTCTTCACAAAATACACAGATTTTTTTTGAGGGTGGCACATTGAATTTTCTTTTCTGTATTTGGAAAAAGATTGTCCCTACCTATTTTTTTCTATTACGTGATATTGATTTAATTAAATTTTTGTCTGTCTTTTTTTAAAAACCAGCTTGCTGCAGTTTAGTTTTATTTGACGTGTAGGTTAGACTATGCTTTCAAATATTTCAATCTATAGAATTATGTTTGTATACATAGAATAGATGTTTGCGACGCATAAACTATACAAATCTATAATAAATTATCCTTTACCAAATTGATTTGTTTAAGTTTAACAATAAAAGCTAAATTGAAAATAATGTTCTTTTTGATTTTTTATACAACAAGATTGAAACCTAAAGAAATAGTTATAAAATATTCTTATGTAATAATATTAATGTATTTATTAATTATACTAAATTAAGGGTATGGCTGCGCTTGTCTCTTCAATAAAATATTTAGTTCAATATCTTGAGATAGATGTGGGTAGGTGTGGGTGTGGGTATGAATGGATGTGACTGAAGTGGATACACTCGTACGTCATCATCCACACCCACACCCTCAAGTTCTTTTCAATGCTGTTGAGTGAATATTACATAAAAGAACGTCTCATATAGAAAAATATACTTTTTAGTTTTATTATTCAAAGGTCGCATTAAGATATAAGAAGAATATTAAAATCAAAACTGAATAATTTTTATTAAATGTATAGTCACAGATTTGAAACACTATGATGTCAAACTAAATTTATGTATTCAATATCAATATATATTAGCAAAATATTTTGCAATTTTTAAAACTCAAAAGAGATATACTTAAATAGAATAGAACGATAGCTTACAGTGTCTAGTTTATGAAATCGATGTGCATTAATGGTTTACGACGTTTCGGTGAACATAGAAATTTTGAGTTTTGACACTTTCTTCATAAATTCCCAAGATTTTCATCATTATTAATTAAATATATAAATTTATTTATCCATTGATCTTGAAAGACAAAAATGGATGTTGTCATTGGTGAATAGGTGTTATGAGTTATATTCATTGTTTCGTTTATATCATATCGGTCACATAGAAAACAATCATTTCATTGTGTTCATCCACAAATAAAATTCAACGTACAATTTTCAATATTTAATGGTTAATAATATGAAATTAGAAGATATATCAAATGAACTTTTCTTATGTATTTGGGATCAACTATCAATGGCGGATACTATTTATAGTTTTTCTAACCTTACCACAAGAATTGATTGTATGTTATTAAAATTTTGTTGCCTTTACAATAAATTAGATTTACGTTATTGTTCATTGTCAATATTTCGTTATTTTTCTCATCAAATAATAATGAAAGATGAATGGCGTTTGAATTTAACCGTTTTAAAAATAGGTAATTCATATCGATGTTCTCAAGTGATTTCATTAGCTGATGAAGTGATACAGTTTTTTATGAAAAATTATTTGATAAGAAAAGATAATCAGAACAATAATTCATCAGATTTACTCCATATGATAAATTTACTGAAGAAGAAAAATGTGGAACCAATATTTCCTCAATTAAATACATTAATTGTTTATCAGAGTATAACAATGAATGAGAATTGTCGAGATATATTTCTATATGGTATTGCTTGTGGATCAACTTTACGTACATTAAATTGGAGAGCTTGTTCCTATCAAACTCATCATTCGGAATCATTTTTTGATTGGTTATTTCAATGTTCAACTAATTTACATAAATATCAACTCTTAAATACATTAGGTGAAAGTGGTTTTGAACTTTCGTATCAGCATACATTGATTAATAGTTATCAATTTCATCCATCACTTATTTTTCTTAAAATTAATATTTTGAATTTATCAACTCTATTTGTGTTACTTCATTATCTTCCAAAACTTGAATGGCTCGGTAAATTTTATATTATTTCTTAAAAAATTCCTTTAAGTAGTTTACTATTTTATTTCTAAAGATGTTCATATTAGCAATCCTATTGAAGTAGAAAATGATTTTAATGCACATTTGTCAAAAACTATGGATTATCCGATTAAACTTCATACTCTTACGTTCAGGTAATATTAAGAATTTAGAAAAAAAACTTTTTTCATTTTCTCTTACCCTATTCAAAGAGCATTGAATATACAAGGACGAGGTTGTTATGAATTAGAAAACCTTCTATTAAAATTTATTCAATCACTTGAATCTTTATCCATATCCATGTATCATCGATGTGATAATGAACCTGATCTAAATTATAATGGTTATTCTCTAAGTATTCTTTGTCAAAAATTCCTACATCTTCGATCATTTCATTTTGCTCTTCAAATACAAATGTTCGAAAAAGCTGATGAAAATATCATTAATAACTTTGTAAACACATTTTCTACACCTTTTTGGCTCAATGGACCTTTTGGATGTAAACGAATATGCGTGGATTTCGAACAAATCTATGGTTGGATACAAATGTTTTCTCTTCCATTTACTTTCAACGATACTACTTTATTTCGTTCGACTGATTTAACAAATATACAATTTAATACTGATTTAGAAGAAAATCAAACATCAAAACATTTATCTCAAAAACTTGAAACTCTTTGGTTTGGAATGAGTCGATTGTTTTTACCATTTGATAAAAATCAAATATTATCATCGGTATTTGTTCAAGCTTTACGATGTCCATCTAGTCAAGGTTAATTACTTGATATTTTCTTTTCTTCTATTAGTCATTCTTGTATGATATAGGGAAAACATTAGTATTATCACAAAAGAGAGGAATTATGTCAGAAAATATAGTAAATCAAATTCAATTAACACACTTTAATATGCTCGAATTAGTCGATTCAATTGATACAAATATTAATTATAATCTTCAAGGTAAATTTATAATTCTTTTTGATCATTTACAAGTGTGTGGGTGTGGATATATCTCTACCCTTAACTGAAACCCACCCACACCCTCGAACTTGGAAACCTTAAACAGCATAACACTACATAAAGTTACAAAGAATTGGTAAAAAGAAAAATTTTTTGTAGAATATTTGATAATTGATTGAGATCCAATTTGTTATATATTAAAATATGAATGTTCTTTCTATAGAATTAATTTGTTGGTTTCAACTACTACCGAATATTATTTGTCTAGAGATTTGTCTGACAGAATTCAAGTATTGGTTGACAAATGATACGAATAATTTATATCGTTGTTCTGTTTTACAACGTCTCGAACGATTACATGTCGATTGTTCTTCATTAATTAATAAGCTAATGAATGAAGAAATTTATCATTTATTTCTATCGTATATCATTGATAAAGATCGTTTTCCTCAATTAAGATGTTTACGTTTAAGGAGCTGCAAAAATATTGCATCATCATGGGAAAATATCGATCAATGGATTAGTTTTATTCTTACTCATATTAATGAACATCAATTAACATGTGTACGTTTCGATTTTATTGAGCAAGAAAAGAAAACAACTGAAATGAATATATGTAATCAAATAATGAGAATTGTTCAATTATCATCGATTATCGACATTCATCAATTTGTACATGACAATCATATTGCTTTATGGATCGAACGAAGATACAAGTATTTTTCATTAACAAAATAATTCATTCATGTTAGATTTATTTGTATAAGAGATATTAAGAAATAAAAATAAATAAATTTGTTGAAAATAAGTTTCCGTAATTAAAAGAAATTTATTATTATATCTTATTAAGTACTTTAGAAATCGTTAACTCGATTCGACTATTCAATTTCTTCTTCGAATTATAACTCTCGAGATTTATCATTCGAGTATTCGAGTTTTAAATTTATAAATTGATAAATCGGTTATGACTAGTAGATGATTTTTCTCGAAAACTATTTACATCTTTTGCACCATCAACAACAAATCCTAATGCTCGAGCTGTTGAAGTTGTGGAAGGTGGTCCCCCTTGTAAACCTGTACGATAATAATCAGACATAGATTTTAAAAAGAAAAATGTTTCGCTACTAGCAAAGAACAAGTTGTAGTATTGATTCTTTTCGAATATTGTAATCACTGAGTATATGATCTTCTTCAATCTGTTTACTAGCAAAGACGAGACGCTGTTGATCAGGCGGAATACCTTCTTTGTCCTGAATTTTTGCTTTCACATTTTCGATGGTATCACAAGTTTCTACTTCGAGAGTAATTGTCTTACCAGTAAGCGTTTTGACGAAAATTTGCATGTTGCTATTTAATCAATAAGAATCAGTAATTTAGATTGAGAGAGAAATGTTTATTGCGATTGAATGAAGAGAATGAACATTATGCGGTCTTTTATAATATCTTGGTGACTCGATTTCATGCTGTTGAGTAGGTTTATGTAAAAAAATGGCGCTAATAGGTACGATAGAACGAAACATATTTTGACAGCAACAGATGACTAGGTAAAGGAAAACACTTTTTTATATTAATCCTAAATATTGTAATGTCGGTCATCGCTGTTACATAAAGAACGTGTATACACAATTTACAAAACTTTATTTATATATATAAACGACATTATAGAGTTTTATTTTCCTAAACCAAGTTGATGATATAGTAAACCAGCAACAGCAGATTGAAACCCAGCATTATTTTCCACACTAACTTGATTTGTTTTGCTTTCCAAACGATCATCGTCAGAAAAATCACCGAAGCTTGGCCCACTAACTAAAGCACCTACTAATAAATAAGGATTTGCATTTGGATTTAAATATGCTCGTTCATTGCATGTTGCTGGTAGAGCAGGACATGAACTGTAAAAGAGATGATTAAATATTTATTATTCATAAAACATGTTTTAATAACTACCTTCCTCGATCACGAGGTTTCTTGGGATAATTTTGACCAACACCAACAACATATGATCTACCAGAATCACCTAACATATAACCAATTTGACTAGTGGTAAAGTTGAGATATTCTTGAGTATTAATACCGATATCAGCAGCCTTTAAAATCAAATATATTCTTCATATAATCCAAAAGAAAAAAATTATTCCTTTACTTGTAAACAAAAAAATGCCATATCAGCAGTGCTTTTAAGTTTGCTAAAAGCATCGATATAAGCAAGACCTTTCTCCGTTGTTTGCATGTTGTGTACAACATTGTTACATGTTCTTTCAACAACTTTACGATATATTTGTTCTTTAATAATTTTCGCCATAAGAACTTGAACACCTATTGTTCGAATATATTCTTCATATATCGTTTGCGTATACTCATCAAGTTCAAACTCGATATAATGTTGTTTAGCATCTAATAGGTAATTTTGTTCACCCGTAGCACGTAAAAGCCAAAGAGCAGCCCATGCTAATGCATTCCCTCCTTTACTAGGTAGAAAGAAAAGATGTCGATTATTATTCTTTGCAAGATTATACAATTGTCGAGCATGTATCAATAATTTTGCGTGATAAACTGGATCGGACAAACGAAAAACAATCGAAGCAGCAGCTAAAGCAGCGGCCGCTTCACCCGGCACAAAAAGATTATCTTTATTAAGATCTATTTTTAATGTTGGTCGTGATACCAATATGTCTTCTGGTCTCGACCAATCGTCAATCAATGATTTCCGAAATTCTTCATCACCTACTCGTTCATAAAATTCACGTTCGTTTACATGTGCCTATGAAATAAAAAAAATATGTTATATTGTATCTTTATGTTAGCGACTTAAGTTTCATATTCCGAAATTGCTCATATCTCTTAGACTGTCTGGAAGAAACGTATTAAATTCTAACCTTGATTAAATAATCAGTTGACCAATGGATAGCATCACGAACATATTCTAATTGACCCGCTTTAACATATGCATCTTCATAATCAATTACACCCCATGCTAATACTGATGTGAATTGAGCCGTTCGGGAACTAATTTTTTCGAGACTACTACCATCAATAAAATAACCACCGGTTAAATCTTCTCCATTCTCCCCACAATCTTTTAGCATCGAATCACCTCGCCAACTAATACGTTTATTAGCTGAAAGCCGACCAGATCGTTGTGATTCGTAGAAAAGAATCGAAGCATAAAGTACAGCCCCATAATCATATGTGCCATTATTTGTCGATATATTGATTGGTTTTGACGGAAATATTGATAAAGGAGGAACAATAATCAAACTAATATTAACCGGTTGCCTGTCAAATAGTACAAGAATTATATTGCTCGGTTTGACATCACCATCAGCGACAAATTCAAAGTAAAAAATAGTATTTATTTTCGGATAATCATTCCATGAACTTTGACGATATACAAGGTTTGATCATTAATTTTGTTTGTTAAATTACCGTACGATGTCTAATAAAAATTAATAATAATGAAAGAAAATATGAATAGATTATTTTAACATACTTGAATGTTTGCTGACTTATTAAAACGGATCTCAAGCTCCCACGGATTATGTGTACCTGTAACTGGAATTAATAAAGTTCCTTGAAATCCACCTGACCATTCTTTTTCTACTCGTAAGAGGCATTCACATAAACCACTAATAAATGTGACATAAATTATAATATATTTCATCTAAATTTGAATGCGTCGAAAATTATCACTTCTCGATCGATTGGAAAAAAACCAGACCATTTATAGAACAATATAACAAAGAAGAAACAAAATCGAGAAAAGGTCAATTCAGCAACCAATAAACAAATAGTATCACTTTTTTTTGTTGTTTTCATTCTATCTGAGTTGATTGGAATAATAAAGTCGGAAATATTTAAATAATTTTAACAAATGAATTTATATTTCGCATAATTTTAATAATAAAACTTTAAGATTTTCATGTAAATTCTTTTGTTAAAATGTTTCATTTTGATTTCAGATGAGATTCTGATCAAAAAACTAATTGTAATTGAGAGAAGAAAGATGATATTTTATGAGTATTTATGACGAAATCGAATGAATTCAGATTGATTTAGTTTATTATTTTCTTTTCAGAATTTGTAATAATTGTAATGTGTTTAATTGTATTGTTCAGAGATTCTTTTTGAGAGAGACGAAAATAACGACATAATATATTTCTGCTCTATTCAGAAGTGTCAAATTTCCATTCTGTAATATTAACCTCAAACTGCTTCTGATCATTATCTTGATAGTTTCTTATTTATTTCCTAAAGATCTGTATAATTCGTTATAATTATATGACATTTGTTTTCTAAACATCGATATTTTGTAAAGATTTGTGAATATGTAAATATTTTAACATAGGTATGTGCTTTAATAATTTATACAATTCACTTAGATAACAATGAGCAATTATTCATTTGATAAGTATTCAACTGACGGCATTATTTCAAGTTTTTTAAGATAAAAAAATCCATCAAGTGAGAAAAATTTCTGTTTGAAAACAATCGTTTCTATTTCATTTGGTAAGAATTCAAATTTCATCACGCTTTGCTTGTCATTCATGATAAAAATAAATTGAAATATTTAGAATATAAAGAATACAAATCGTTTATTTTGAATTATATCTTATCTTTAAAAAATAGTTATAACATAACAGAAGTACTCTGTTGAGTGTAGGTGTGGATACTTTCTTTCATTTTACATCTAAATCCACATCCTCAAGTTTCAGTCTCTGATCTATAGTATCGTTTCACATGTAGAAATTCGAATTCTTTGTTTTATTTAAAAAGAAAAAAAAATATTTGCACATATGTACACATTATATGGCTTAGTCCGTGATTGAATGATCATGTACTGCATGTATATGTTAAATACATGTTTCCTTCATATCGTTCTACTTCGATACTAGCTGAACATGCTTTGAATAAATTATTTTTTGCCTCTGAGAATGTATGTGCCCAATCATTCTGATAGGACGTATCAACTGTACATTTGCAGTTTCCAAATTGTGCATTGACGCAACCCCATGCCAATCCGGTAACAGAAGGCAATTTATTTATACAACTCATGGCATCTTGCATTGAATTTGAGTTACGTGTATTACAATATGTTGCATAAGTATTGCGATCACCATTGCACATTCCCGCAGCACGAACATTTCTAATCGAAAATAAAAGATAGAGAGAAAATCTATTTTTATATTAACTACTTACCTATTAGAGGAAAGATACAAGCAAGTCACGCTTAATAGTATCATCAAAAACAATAAAACCGTCACTAGTCGAATCATTTTTAGGATAAATCTATATATGTTTATGTTTAAATTATAAATGATTCAATTTCTTCCATATATTTATACTTCAAATGCTATTGCGTCTTATTTATTATTTAATACTGCGCAAAAAGATAATAACAAATTTGTCAACATAATGAACGACAGGTATAACCTTGATGATGTAGAAAAGGACCATTATCATCAACGTCATGATACCCACTGAGCAATTGCGTATATAGAGAGTGAGTGTGAGTCAGCACAACACGCACACTCACCCTTATGAAATAAAATGTTGATAAAATGAAAATCATAGATATAGAAGAGTTTTTGATATAATGAACACTTACAAAATACATATTCATATAAGAATAAGGTAAATTAAATGTGAGTATTTTGTTTACCTTATCAACATCCTCATTCTCATTAGTTCGTTTATCTGATATGATTACAGATTTTGTTTTAGATTATCTGTTGTTATTATTTACAGATTATTCATCTAAATATATCATCCATGAACTTACCTCAAAGTTTTTTTTATAATCGAAATGTGTCAATGATCATACATTCTAAATCCGATGAATACTATCAAAATAATTAAATGTTATAAAAAAATGACACTGTAAAACTAAGAGAACATTTGAATGGATAATTAAAACTATCGTATCAGTTGTACTTTTTGTTAACCATAATAAAATAATCTACAAGGCCAGAGAAAAAAGATATATTTTTTATTTCGGATAGAATACTAAAGTGTCTGATAATTCAATAAAATCATAGAAGGAACAATTTGTGGAGGTGATAAGATGAAAGCTGTTCTAACTAAAGTAGTTTTAGAATTTGAATTACTTGCAAGAAAAAAATAAGTTCACTGAAAGTTAATTTGTTTAACATAATTAATATAATTCTGCACTGTTTAAAGGCGCATAACCATTGGATGTGCCACCAGTAACTAACACTTTCCCATTTAATAATACAGATGCTATGTGACTAAATCGACCATGAATCATATTACTAGTAGTTGTCCAGATATCTGTTGATGGATCATATAGTTCAGCAGTATTTATGATACCATTACGATTCTCTCCACCAGTAACTAATACTTTCCCGTTTAATAATACAGATGCTGTGTGACCTTGTCGTGCATTAGTCATATCACTGGTAGTTGTCCATGTGCCTGTTGATGGATCATATAGCTCAACACTATTTAGAACACCACCTCTATTAGCTCCACCAGTAACTAATACTTTCCCATTTAATAATATAGATGCTGTGTGACCTTGTCGTGCATTAGTCATATCATTCGTTGTTGTCCATGTGCCTGTTGATGGATCATATAATTCAGAACTATTTATAGCAACCCTATTACCATCCCATCCACCAGTAACTAATACATTTCCATTTGATAATATAGATGCTATGTGATAATATCGCATATTAATCATGTTATCAGTAGTTGTCCAAGTATTTGTTGATGGATCATATAGTTCAGCACTATTAGTAGCGTTGCTACTACTATCCCGTCCACCAGTAACTAATACTTTTCCATTTAATAATGTAGATGTTGTATGACTAAATCGCGCATGAATCATATTACTAGTAGTTGTCCAAGTGCCTGTTGATGGATCATACAGCTCAGCACTATATACATAACCATTGCCTACACCACCAGTAACTAATACCTTTCCATTTTCTAATACAGATGCTGAGTAATAAGATCGTGCATTAGTCATGTTACCAGTAGTTGTCCAAGTACTTGCTGATGGATCATACAATTCGGCACTATTTAAATAACTAGTAAGGCCATAGGATCCACCAGTAACTAATACTTTTCCAGTTGATAATACGATTGCTGTGTGATAATATCTTGCATTAATCATATTACCGGTAACAGACCATTCTAGGTAGAAACATTTGATTGAATTCATTCTCGAAAGACTGTCGCTTGTGGAATTCACAAAACGATGTAATCATGTACGGAAAGTTTTAGATTTTGTAAAATGAAAATTGTTTTTTACTTTTATTGCTAAGTTTTTCGAACTTTTTGGAAAATGCAAAAAGTCTCAAGTTTGTTGTGAAAATATCGTTCTCGATTCGGTACGAAAGTAAGTTTCGCATTTTTGGTAAAGAATCGTTATTATGTATAGCTTCTATTGATGACAGTCAGCCAATAAAACTCCCTAGGTAAAGGAAAAGCAGTAGGATTCACAAAATTCTCGTCAGATTCCTACAGCAAAATCGAAATGTGGTGCTTGTTTCTTTTTCCGATTCGTTTTTTACAAATTTTTGCAGTTGGAAATGATGTCGAGGTACGGTTGCGTTTACAGCATCTTTCTCGACTAAGGAATGTGGTGATTTATCATGTCGGAAACCTGAAATTTAACTTATCCAGGGAACAGCAGAATCGATCAAAGATGAGGGACTAACTAGTAAATAATACGCAAATACAGCAATTTATATTTACACACGAAAGAGAGAGAGAGGGGGAGAACTGTCTGGCATTTCTACGCGAGAAAATGTCATGCACAACAGATATACGTACGCTCTTTTGGAGCAAAATGATTTTTTTCTGTTTTATTTTCACTTAAAAGTAGGATATATAGTAACATCAAATGAAGAGAAAAAATCGCGAGTGTGGGGATTATTGTATCTTCGTTTCCTCTTAAGCTAACCATTGAATCACTCATCATGTGATCACCGTTATTTTAATATAACTTTTAGTTAGATGATATAGAAAGTTGTTGGACGAAAAGCAGTCACTTATATCTGATTTAAAAGTACCATTTAAGGAGACTGGAAAACGTTACTCTGAAGCTTACCTGACGGCTGTGTTGTGGTCGTAGTTGTTGTTTGTGGTAAAGTTGTGATCGGTGTCATTGGTGGTGATGTTGTTGATAATGATAGTGGTGTTGATATTGTTGTCGCTAGTGATGACGATGATGTTGCCACGGGGGTATTGGTTTCTGATTTCTTCGGTGCAAAAACGACGAAATTTAACACCAGACCAAGAGTAACAGCAAAAACTATTAAAATAATAACGGAAATGCCGGTTATTTTAACCCAACGACGATGCCACCATTTGTGTGGTCCATTATTTACAGTAGCAAGCTCACTGTGAACTTCGTTGGTGTGCATATTATGTTTCAGATGAAATTTAAACGCAAAAAAAGAAGACTATTGTTCGAAACTACTCTCTGCTTGCCTATTACTCTCACGAAAGTAACAGAAGATAACTAATATCAACTTCAATATTAATAGGAGTATTACTTTATCTTTACTTTATAAAGAGTGACGATAATCCTTATTTTAAAATTCAAGATAAAGAAATAAAGTAGATCTTTGTATTTATAAAATAAAGATAAAGATAATCTTTATTTGCAAAAAGAAAGTTAAAACGAAGAATAAAGATATCGTTTTTAATGCAATAAGTACATATGCCAATACTCTGTATGACGACAGAATACATTTATTAATGCTCTTTCTTATCATCAAAAAAAAGAATCACACAAGAAACGATATATACGAAAAGTGTTACTCCATATTATAGTTAACTACATAATATGTTGAGGGTGTGCGTGTGTTAATAAATGAAGAATATATTTACATCCTGGACAAAGCAATACTCATATCCTCAAGACTAAACTCATCATCTATATAAAATATTATACTAATTGTTATCTTTGATGCCTAATATTCAAACATTAGAACTTATGAGTATAACATCAAATACATTAGATTGTATTTTGTTTTGTATCAAAAGTTAAAGGATTTATGGATCTTTGTCCTCAGTTACAATATCTTTCTATTAGTACATCTGAACGATTCGATTTTTATTATCGTAAACGAATCAAAGCAATTATCATTTATCATCTTTATGTATTTTTAGAGTGAGTACAATGTGGATGGAAAAATAGAAATCTTCTGATTTTATCAGAAACGTTTCTTAATGAATCTTTAATAAAAATAATCGATAACAAGTTTTATTTGTGGTAGAGATAACGATTGTTTTTTTTTATAAGAAATAATAAAAAAAATGAAAATACATGAATTTGAGTGGTGATGTGTTCATTTACTCTCACAGTTTTTATATTTGCAACAGCAATTACTTGTTTATATTGAGAAAAGTTAAATAGATCCTAATTTTGATTACGACTATCATCTTCTTGACAAACAAATGGTATTTTCTTTAATTCTTCTTGTTTATTTGTATTTAACCAATCGATTGATTTTTGAACAAGTTCTTGTAATATCACACGGACTACATTTTTTTCAGCTTCACTTCAATTTCCATCATGACTACTTCTTGTTCCCACTAGACAATGTTCTTTATATTGAGTAAAAATTGTTGAAAAAAGTAATGGCATATAATTAACTGCTGTGCACATAGCCAAACAATTGAGATGTTTTGAACCAGGAGTAAGATTTGAACGACTATTTTGAAATATTTTATTAAAATGACTGAAAATATAATGGTGACCATTTAAATCTAAAGCTTCTTTTAAAGGAATTGTCGTGTTAATATAAACATCGTCATAAATCCAACAAAATTCATCACAACATGTTTGAATATATTTTCGTAACAGATGGTTCATTAAATTTAATGAGTTTGTATTTGATGAATGAAAAAATACAGCCAATGATTCATTTGGTGTAAGTTTTTGTTGTGTAGCTACAACTCGTAAACCACCCATTAGAATTCCAACTGTAGCTTGTTTCACATAATCCAAATATATTTCATTCTTACTGATTGGAGCAACTATTTCTTCTGCTATAATAGTAGACATAGAAAATTATCTATGGTAGAAAGTTTAAAATCAATAATGATAATCTTTGTCTTTCAACAGAAAAATAAAAAGTATTCGAGCATCGTTATTATACCTTTCTTATATATACATACCGTTGCAATGTATGCAGTAATTGACAATCGATTGTGAAATTACATGTATACATTGAGTTACCTTTTACAATCGTTGATAAAGCACATCATCAATTTTTTACAATATAACAGAAATGACATCATTAAGATAAACTTTTATTCTTTTTTTTACTTCCTTGGGATGGATGTAGGTGTTTCAGTTTTCTTCTATCCACACTCACCCTCAAGATGAATATATATATATATTTAAATTATGTATCACAGATTTACAATATAAAATTTAATATATACAAATAAATTAATTCATTGAAATGTTTTTATTGTTATTGTCAACTAAAGAAATCGGTTGTATTCGATGATTAAAGAATTTGAATTTGAAAATAAATTCTTTCAAATGTTTTCGAAATGTTTTAGAACAGGATAAATAAATCCAGAATGATGCACCATTTGTTAAAAAAGTAAATAATGTAAGAATCACTAAAATAAGAAATTCATAATTTACTCTTATACGTGTCTTAACCATGGATTGTGTAATCATTATATAACAAACAAATATACCTGCTGGAACTCCACTTATTAATATACTACTCATTTGTATAAGCATCATACGCGTTACAACACCTTCTATACAATGACGACGTCGTAAAAATTGTTGAAAATTATACCATATTAAAGTAAATAACAATAATGTTAATAAAGCTGGCATAAAATAATAACCAATAATTATCCAATAATTACTAGAGACATTTATAATTTGAAGTGAACTTTTACAAATAAATGCTGCTGATAATGGTTGATAATTCGTATTATATATTGGTATTGGAATAAATATTAAAAGATAAATAATAGCTGTAGATATAATTATTAATTTTGCTCTCATACGTGTTATTAATCTTTGCCATTCAGTATTTGGTAATAATATAAGAAATTGACAAAAACCTGCAAAGCAATTACACATAAAACTAAAACAACCACCTGAATAAGTTAACCAAGCATTTGTTTTACACCAAAATAATGATCGATTCATGTAATCAATTTCAGTGTTTATAAATAATAAACTTCCTATGGATGTACTAACCAGAAATAATGCATTTGGATGTTTATTTAATGGTGGAATACAAAGAAATACAAAACAATTGCATAAATTACCAATTGTAGTTATTATTATTATAAATAAACCGAAAGTTATATATAAATCATCACTAATACTGAATATATAAAGAGCTCTATCAATATCCGAAGACATTTGATTTTTTCAAATGAAATGTTGCATGTGTATTCGATAGAACATTAATAATCTTGAGGGTGTAGATGTGGGTGCGAGAGCATCATGATCAACTGACAACCACATCCTCACCCATCGTATTTAAACTGCAATGTTAGCATTTATAAGATAATCAGGATTATTTATTTTTTCTAAAGATAAATAAAATATAATCAGCATGTATTGTCTTTTTTCGAAATGTAGTTTACACTATTTTATTTACTTATTTATACAATCAATTACCATGGTCCTGCAATCGTTCACAGTCATATTTATGTAATTGATCATATAAGTACTGTGTAAATTCTCGCGATAAATTTCCAAAATTAATGCTAATTTTACGTAACGATTGAATATACCACATACTTGTGAATTTAATCTTCCCTGGAGTCAAAAATACTACTGATACATAATATGACGTTTCTTCGGCTAGTCCTTGTAGAGTTTTCTTATTTAATTGATTGATAATTCGTTCGCCTAGAAATGATCGTAATCTATCGATATCTTGAAATGCACAATCGATAATTTGCACCAAGATTACGATGATCTCACGATACAATGCTTGAATGACTGAGTAAAATGACGAGAGAATAGACGAATGAAACGAATCAAATTCCATACTTGCCAATCTGTCTCATTATTGATGTAACGTTTAGCATTAGTAAAAATAAAAAAATGCTGTTTTTTGTAGAATTGTCGTGTACAATTCCATGTATACTATTCTTGACATAAATTTTGTTGATCATAAGCTTCAAAATGATCATAAGAACTGTAATATGGATCATGAAATCCAATCGATACAATTGTGTGATAACAAATTTGCCTATCACATAGCTTATTGTATATGCATACATTATATTTCAGAATACTACTACTACTTTCATGTAGATATACAAATAGAAGTAGACCCTTTTCAAGATTGATATAATTGACTTCAGCATTGTATTTATAGAAATCATCACAATTGTAAACAGAATTGATTTCAAATTCTCCAAGTTATGTGTTTGAATGATTCGTAGTCATTTTGTCAAATAAATATCTGAGTAGAAAAGAAAACAATTAAATTACAACAAAAATAATCTGCTGTAAATATTTATTTTCTTAATAAGTAAAAATCACTAACATTCTAAGATCTTTATTTTACTGATCATTTATGTTTTCAAGGCATTTGAACGAAGATTTATATGTTTTTAAAGAAAGCTAAATTCTTTACATTTATTTGTAAATTTGATTTTGTGTCTATTGGGAGTATAAACGATGTAAAATGACATACAGTACTGTGGATTGATGTTTGTCTATATATGCATATATGTAGAATGGACAACGAGATTGTATGCAACGATAAGTGCAGAAGAGAAAAAAAGATCATAATAATGAGGCTAGCCTATTAGATTGATGATCGGTGTGTTAACGTAGACCTTAATAGCATTCTAAAAGATGTGCATACATTAACTACAAATTCCTTAGAAATAATCCGATAAAAACAAGTATATCTTAGAATCTATCGATATCACACTACAAAAAAAAGTAACAGACATATAGAGGAGTAGATTCGAACTACGTTTTTAACATGATTCACATGTATCGCAAAAAAATGTGTTGTATGTTGTGAAGCAAAATGCAACGCTTTTTATATTCTTCTCTAGTAATTACTTGAATTTCTTATAACCATTGCAGTTTCGCTGTAATTGCCACTTTGAGCAACTTTAGAAATTGCATAGTAATTACAGAATTTTCTCTATAGCGACCATGGTTTTTGACTGGTATCGTATCTATGCCCATACGTCTTGTTATAGCATCTATGTAATTACCACGGAATTGAGCACAACTATTCTTTTCGACAACACGAAATGTTTGGAAATTCTGACAACTACTGATATCGATTTGAACGCACTCAACAATTTTCTTGTAGGACTGGACTTACTTATCTTGAGAAGTAACGATATATTAATCGAAAAGCGAACGATTTAATTACTATTTCACTCCACATTCTCACATTTTCTTAAGGGTGTGAATCTGGGTGTAGGTGAGGCAAATAAGAAACATCCACCCTCAAGGGAACGAAAGAAACATATATGTGAAATATATATACTAACACCACCTATAGAAAGGAAAAGAAAGAAAGAACTAAAACAAAACGAACGATAACTATCTGTGTTATAATATGTCAGATATTGTATCCAATCAGTTAAGAAAAAAATAAATTTAGAAAACAAATTATGCTTCGAGTAATATCTGAGAAAAAGTAAGAAATCGAAATTATTAAATTCATTTGCAAAAAATTCTTTGTTTCTATAGACAAATAATTAATCATATTGAAAATTTATCAAATGAAATTTTCTACGAAATATTTGATTATTTAAATGGATGTGATATTTATCATTCATTTTCAAACTTAAATATTCGTTTTCAAGATCTTATAACACATTCAACTTTCTATTTAAAAGTTCAATTTTCATCCGAATCTCAATCAAATTTAACAATCAAAGATCGTTATGAACGATATATTTTACCTAATAAACATCGTATTATTTCATTTTATTGTGAAGAACAACTATATTATGAACAATTTATTCGATCATCTCTAATCAATTCAACATTTAATCATTTAGAATCGATTGTTCTTAAACATATTTCAACAGTTCAATTTGTTGACCTTTTTTTTATTTGAAATCCTTACCACGTCTTTCGTCATTACAAATTTTCTTTGATTCTTGTGAAGATGATATTGGTGCTATCTATCAACTTATATTTCAATTACCTTTCTTAAAATATCTCAAAGTAGAAATCGATGATTTTGAAACTACTGGTTTAACTCTTCCAATGGCAACAAATGAACAGTATACATCAATTGAATACTTCATTTTCTTTCATTATTTAACTCTTGATCAATTCTGCCATCTACTTTCTTATACACCTCGATTAACTCATTTACATTGTTTTACTATTATAGGTTTTGAAGATACAAATTCAATCGAAATCTTCACAAAAATAAACAATTTAGTTCGTTTCGATTTATGTATTCATGATCTTTCATGTAATTTATGTCAAGCATTACTTTTAAAATTACCGTTACAATTAAAAATATTAAGTGTGATTGTATTTGATAAAGATAAACGTTATCTAGATGCAAACCGATGGGAAGAATTAATTCGAAAGAATATGCCGAACTTAGAAAGATTTACTTTGTCTTGGCACGAAAATATGGATAAAAGTTTTCAAATAACTGATTATCATAAAACAATTCCGAATTATTTCTTACCGTTTTGGATGGAAAAAGAATGGATATTTCGAATTGTAGTTAGGGATGTTAAAATTGATTATGCGATTGTTCCTCATAGGTATACATCGATTCTTCAAGTCTATTTTTTATTATTTCTCTTATACCTTTTTAGTCAAAAATTTTATGATTTTGAAGAACATTTATCTTATGACAGAAATTCTTGTCCTGGTGTGAATTTAAATATAACTAATTTGAATAAAAACCAAGTTTATATTAATCGACTTAATAGTTTATTTAATATTATTAATGTTACTCGACTAGTAATTAAATGTTCGATCGATTCTATGAAAGCATTTATTAAAATTCTTAAGTTATTACCAAATTTAATAATGTTACGTGTGACACTTTTAACACATCCAGACGAATTTCTTGATGCTAAAAAAGATATGATTGAACTTCGTCGATGTGTGAAAAACAGTAAGATTACAAATGTAACAATAGTAAATATAGAAGATAGTGATTATGTGGATTTTATTATTGATCTTTTTCCACAAATGAAATCATTTTCAATACAAATAATTGCAAATTCTGATCTTTTATTAGTTGCTAAGTGGATATTATACAGAATCAAAATGAATAAAATGTCTCATCCAATGAAAGTTTGTATTCAGGTCAATGAGGGAACAAATGATCTGATTGAAAAATTATATGAAATGATTGATTCGAAGAAATTATTGAAGAATTATACAGTCTTTCGAAAATTAGATATATTTTATATTCAATGGAACTAAACTCTGATTCTTTATCTTGCTTTTATTTTTATTTAATAAACTTGCTTATATAGATCTACAAGAGTTTATTTATTTTATTTTGAAAAAATACTAAAATACAATTAACAAGTTTGTAAGTAAAGATTTAAACTATCTGTTCTGTTACTGATCACAGCAAAATCCATTTTTTCATCGTGACTACAATCAGCAACAGCAAGTGAAGAGGGTGGATGTGACTGTAGGTAGTATATTTATTTGTAATTCACACCCACACCCTAGCTGTTGTCTTTGCTGCGATTGGTTTCTAGATGGTAGTGATTGGGAGTCTGCTCCTGGTGCGACTTGTAGCTATCATCCTCCGAGTCGTAGTTTTTATTATCATGTTGAATATGTTTGCAATTGTAAGAGAAAATAAATTAAAAGCGTAGTCATGAAGAAACGTTTTCAGATAATCTGATCTATTGATTTTGTATATTTTAATTATATCTATGAAACAATTGGACGATCATAAATCGCAAAAAATTTCTTCTCTTGTATAGACTAATCTGACAAAATAGAATCTCTAACAAGTCTAATGATTAGCTAACCTCCATACCCTTGTATTAATCTTAATCGATATGAATATTCTAATTAGATATCAACGAGATTTTTTAATAAAATATAATAGAAGATTATTTTCTTTTTCCTCTTATTTCCACATCAGTATACCTTCTGCTGTCATAATTTGGTTTGTTTTTTATATTTTTGTAAAATTTATTTTTATTATCATTGCTAGAATATTTCCATCTTAAATAAATATTTAATATAAAAGTTATTTAATATTGCTGCTAAAAATTAAATTTGATCACAAACTTTTATTTTATTTCAATTCATGATTATATCAATACTCATGACAATCAACAATATAGTATATTTCACAGAAGTTAAATCATCATATAGAGATTTGCTTCACTCTTGCTAATAGTTCACACCCACCTAGAATCGATGACAAGAAGGATTATTGAAATTAATAGTGATAATTCTAACTCCTCACTAATTCAATTAGTTGACGAATACTAGATTTTCTTTGATTACTCCAACTTTCTTCCTCTCGAGCTTGATTAACAAAAAGTGGTGACTATATTCTATTTCTCTTTGCCTTTGTTCACTTTTTTCTTTTCATAGAATTGACACATGGCTTATCTCACTTTGTTGTATTACCTTTTTTACTTTTTCCTGGTATCATTTTTTGTTTTTGATATGAAGAAAATAAATGTTAAAAATTGAATATCTTCTTCTCTCTCTATTACACACGTGACAGAAAGAACGAAAGAATAGATTGTTGAAAGTAGCTAGTATCAGTGTAGGGACTGAAGCAAATATAAGACTAAAATTAGTCTTTAGAACGCTGAATTGACTCCATTGAAACAGAGATCTACAATGAATAATTTTTGACAATATATAATAGAAGGATGTTTTATTTAATAAAAATAAAGAAAAAAAAATTAATCAAAGTAGTTTCTAAAGTTAAAATAAAAGAAATGTTTTGTTTAATTGATAGAACAGTTTTTTAAGAATAAATTGATAAAATTTCAATAAAAGATATTATAGAATCAGTTCCTATGAGAATAATTTCCATATATCCATCATTATTGATATCAACTAATTGAGCATTCTCTAGATTAAAATTAGTTGAATAAATAGTTGAATTAATAAATGTTCTATTTCCGACATTGAAGTAAAGACTGATTTTTTTGGTAGCATAATCTCCAAGAATAATATCTAATCGTTGATCGTTATTCAAATCACCTATTCTTAAAAATGTATTATACAGTCCTACTGAATATACAACTGATTGATAAAATTTATCACTAGTTTCGCCAAATACTATTTGAAAATTAAAATTATAATTACCAATAATAATGTCCATATTGTCATCACTATCAATATCATTTAATAAAATAGTATGTACCAAAGATTTAGTTGAATAATTAACTTCATCGATGAAACTTTGATTATAATTACCGAACAAAATACTTACATTTTGATCTTCATGAGCAACAATCAAATTAAATCTTTGATTATCATTGATATTAAGTACTTTGAAATGATTTATCATATATTTCATTTCATATTTTGTTTGATTACTAAAATCTTCATTTGCCATATTAAATATAATATATACATCTGGTTTATTACTATATACGATTACAATATCTGTATAATTATCTTGATTAATATCAACAAGTTCAATATTTTTTATTCTTGGATCTCTTTTAATCACTTTTCGTCGATAGAATGTTTCATTGCCAGTATTATAAAGAAAATTAATTGCAGCGTTAGGTCCTCCTGAAATACCGATAAGATCAATTTTATTATCATTATTCATATCAGCTTTGAACAAAGAACTCATTATAATATCAGTTTCATAAATAATTTCATCATTAAATTGATTATTAGCTGAATTTAAAAAGATTAATATACGAGATTGCCTTTCATCTCCAATAACAATATCTGCATGATTGTCTTCATTAACATCAACAGTAACCATAGACTGGAAATCACTATTTTTGAATTCATAACGTTTTATAACGGATAATGTTGGAGACCATTCTAAGTAAAAATAAGACTTATGTTATAAATAACTGGAATTAGATCATCACTTTCTTTTTTTTTCTAAAAAAGAACTCTACCGTTCATTGTAGTTAGATAAGAATCAGTCGATGTTGTAAGAATTGTTGTTGTTTCTGTTGCTGATGTATCAATTGTAATTGTGGTTGGACTAATTGTTGGTTTAGCCTTTTTAGTGAAAATAACACTTACTGTAATAGCGATAGTTATTACAATAAGAGTAGCAACGATAATAAAAATAAATTTTTTTTTCCGATGAAATAAAGATCTAAAATAATAGATGTATTTCGAATAAATAAATTAAGTACATACGATTCTGTTTCCGGGAGAGTAAATTGTCCAATATTGTTTTCATTCTCTGATTCCGACTAAATATTTAAAAAATACAATTCTCTAAAAAATGTTAATTGTTCTTGTAACTAACCATTGAATTTGTTCAACCTTTCTCGATTAATAATCAAGAAAAATGAAACTCTTCTAGAAATATTCCATCTGTTTTTAAAATTTTATTTTATATCGAACAAAGATAAGAACATGTTTGACAATTTTTTAATCCGATGTGAAAATTTTGAAGAAAAGAAGGTAAATGATCTTGACTATATATATTTATATGTCTGTATAAATAAAAATCCATGTTGAATCGAACATTTCTATATAGACTAGTTTTGTTATCGATAAAAATAAAAAAATTTTAATAAAAAGTACTAGTGTACGTAAAATGTATTGACATCTGCTAAAGCTATTTTTATATGAAGAAAAAAAATCTGATATTTATTTCTGTATCCTGACATAAGATTTCTTCCGTTGTTCTTGATGGAAAAAGATTCAAAAAGCTCACCTTCTTGTATATTCTGCACATTTGTTTTTATGTGATGAATATATTTTTCTTTTTAACAAAGAATCTGTTGAAAAAAAATCAAATTAATTCCTATCAAATTGTTTTTCTTTAGATTTCATTTATATTATTAGTTTGTGCAGAAAGTTCATACAACTCATATAGAACTTTTTTTCTTGAGTTATTGTTTAATAAAGTCAATTCAAAGGATATAAACCTCTGGACAAAATAAGCCGTGATCACTTTTCCCATAATCTTTTCTTAACCATTAGGAATATGGGAAGAATTTCTTATTCATTTAGTTTTTTTCTGATAGTTGGAACTTTTTAAAGGAAGATCGTAGAAGACGTTTTTTGCCCTTTAAGATGATCGTATTTAAAACTCGCTCTAAAAGAAGTTATCTATGAGTTGCGTGGATTTTCAGGACACGATGATATATTTACAATATTTTATTTTTGAGAATGAAGATATCGAGACATTACGTTATTAGTCAAAACTTAATGTTTAGAAAATTTTATTTTTTACATAATTATTACGAGCAGGGGTTTTAAGTAGATTTGTATATAATCAATATTGAGAAGAACTTGGAAAAGTGAAATAGACTCAATAAGAATCATTTGTTTTCTTATACATGGTAAAATAAAATTAAAAAAATGGATATATCTATGAATAATCTACTTATATTTATAACTGATGATTCATTTCAATAGAGTGATGTTAAATCGAAACAATTTCGACTTTAGTCATAATATTGTTTTATTCATAAGTTTAATGTAACTTTTCTTGAATATTATTAATAAAGTTCATGATATTATAACGTGGGTGTGGGTATGAATAAAATATAATACTCACGCTCAAATTCATCCACGCCCACACCTACACTCACCCTCTATTTGATATCTAGGCAGATTTAGATTTGGATTTGAATTTAGATGTGAATGTAGTTAGTAAGTAGATTACCCACAACCACACCTCACCCCTCAAGAAACATCCTAGAGTGTTGAATGATAATGATTTAATAGTATATATTCTGATAAGGATATTTTATTTGTATTAAACATTCAAAAGAATACAATCACAAATGAAAAAGAAAATGAACTGGTATCATTGATTTGAAATATTTCTTTCGTGTTCAAAGCTTCTTTCCGTATCCACTGAAAAGAAAAATAATATTTGTAAATTGTTAATTAACAAAACTCTGAATGAAAGTTAGGAAGTATATGTAGGCACTATATTTCAATCCCATAGATCGGCGCTTACAAGATTTTTCACTAACCTAACTAATATTCAGTTGTATCAGACGTGAAAACTTTGCCACTAGCAATTCTTTCAATACATACCTCTTTGAATTTTCGTTCTGATTGTTCTAGAAAGGCATGTTTGTTTCCGAATCATCAGTTGAGTTATCGTGATCAGATAAAGGTGATATTAATCCACGATTAGTGGTATTCAGTGTACTTTCACCTAAATTCAGATTCATCAACGGCTCAATTTTTGGCAGTCCAGTAGTTTTATGAGTGTTGGAAGAGGCATTTTGTTTTGCTGCGGGAATTACTTTTCGATACCTTTTATCTTGCTTTTCTGGATTTTTCTTGAACTCAGCTTTGTTTGCTTTCTCGAAGGCAGCACATGAAGCTCCGGTAACGCCTATGTTATTAGTTGCTTTATAACAGTCCTGCGTGAAGACGTGCCAAGGATATGCTTCGTTAGCTGTGTCCAAGAGCTCGCGCTTTGCTTGCCGATTGTGAATGACAATGACATAATGTCGATAGCGATACCGAAGATCGCTCATGTTCTGGACGAAGTCAATGTCTCCACTTAGAAGCACCAATGTGGCCGGTGTCTTCTGTTGCTCCATGAACTTTCGTATATCGTCGACAATCTTTCGGTCCGCAGCTCCCTCCTTGCCACTTGGTATATGCTTAATACACACATTTGCATGATCAAGACTGCTTAGATGATGTTGTGACAGGCGGTTGGTATTGCAGTAAACTGTAAAGTCACGTTGCACTAGATCCCGGACTACCATCAGTCGTTGCCGTAACTTCTCGACAATGTCAAACGCCTTTAATCCGGCAGGAATGGCCACATTTTCGATATCCCAAAAAACACTTACTGGTCCTCTAGGTTGATCAGGTGGTCCTGCAAAAAAAGACGTAGACCAATCAACTCTAGTATCCACAAAAATCGACTATGAGCCTGACAAAAGTACTTGACCCGACTAAAACTCTATTGAGTTTTTTGGGTCGAAGGATTCGGGGTGATAATGTTGGTTAAAGATTTTCAACCAAATGTTTTTTATGGTACGATGCTCTATATCCTTAGGTAACTTAACCTTGGACAAAATACTCTCATTGTTTATTTATCTACTCGAAAACGCTCTCGGAAACTAATACAATACAACTGTTGAAAATAGAAAAAAAGCTGTTCAAGGGAGTGCAGTAATCAAATGATTTTTTCCAATATTCTCTATACACGTGTGTAACAAAAACTAAATATGGACAATTTTGATACCACTCTAAAGACGACTAAGCCAATTTCATTATCGTTTTATTTTTTAAATGATAAAAATTGGAATCGGAAACATTTCAATGAACGATAATGCACTTCTTTCATTAGCCATTGCGCAGCAGCTAAATCATAGCGATTTAGAAATATATATAAACAATGATTGCAAAAAATAGCAAAAGGGAACAAATATAAAATTATTGTCGCTAGGGCAATTCATTGGAAGACAGTTCGCTACAATGAGATAATTAAATCATAATTTATATATATTCCTCAACAACGAAGCGATTGATTCAATTAAGTTTGAAACATGTAATCTGGTGAATAAACTTCGAGTGCAGATCCATAATCTTCTTCTTTGGATGAGAAGTTAGTTTATTAGAGCTATACAAGTGTTGGAAGGTCTCCTATATCAGTAGAAGTGGCACTGCACTTTTTTAAACTTCTCACAGTCGTTCAAAACTGCTGACAGTGAGAAAATACTTTAAAACCAATAGCAAAATTTGGTGTTCACAAAAAAAGAACAACTTATAATAGACTTCTTTTCTTAAATGTTCGTTAATCGATCACTTATAGAAATTACGAGGACTGTGCCGCTTACTCTCATGTGAGCATGCGGAATACACATCTGCTTGAACTACAATTTTTCACACAGATTATTTACTCATAGCAAAATTAGTTTTTTTCGCAAATAACTCTTCTTCTAACAGAAAATACACTTTTTAATGAAAAAATGAGTTTGTTATTCAAAAACTTTTTTTGAAAGGAAGCCTTCCATTTGCATGTGTACCGCTCACATGAGCGTGAGTAGCACAAGACTTAGTCCGATAACATTAGATTTTCTACGAGAGGATTACAAATAATTTGATTTCGAAGTCAGTACAAGAGCTCTCAATAACAAACGTTTTTACACTACAAATGCTCACTTGACAATGGTAGTACTGGTTCTAGTTGTCGTTGTCGCGATGCACCAAGTTTGATTGCCGACTGTTTCACAGTAATTCGCGCATTGTTTAACGTTGGTACATGCCTTTCTACAATAGATATGATAAATATTTTGTACTCCTGAATACACAACTTGATTGAAAATTACGGTTGTATTTTTTAATTGCTTCTTCTACTGCTTCTTCATTTTTAAATGTGATCTCTGCACAGCCAGTTAGTTGGGCATTATTATTTTTATTTTTAAATAAATGAATGGACGATTTGTTTCTTCGTTTATCAAACTAGAAAAGAAATAAGAGGATTTTAAATTATTTTGATAGAATATGCTTTATAGTTACTTTAATTGGGCCAACAGTACCAAATTCATTCTGTAGTGTATCAAACAGAAGCTGCTCCGGCATAGTCGATGGTAAACTACTGATAAATACTGTATTCTTTTTGAACATTGGTACATCATTTAAATCGTCGGCAACAGATTCACTAGCAATACTATCTGTATTATCTGTGTTTTCAGATTCTTCCTGGTTGCGCTGTTGGTCTAGAAAAAGAAGAAAATACATTTTGTGAGTCTTCAAAGGGAGTAAGATTGCATAGCTTGCAATTAAGTTGAAAGTTCAGTACTTAAAAGTATAGCAAAACATGTCGTAGTCACATGTGAGTGTAGAAGAAGAAAAGATGAATCTAAAGTAATACTGGCACCCACGCCTATACCTTCTAGTTAATCGAAAACAAAAACTCGACCTCAAACTTCTGATTTGGTGATCATTGCAAGCATTCTTAATAACAAATGTTTTTCTACTACAAATGCTCACTTAATAACAGTAGTAATGCCTTCGATAGTGATCGTGGCTTTCGTTGTTGTAATGCACCAGATTTTATTTCCGACTGTTTCACACCAATTCGAGCATTATTTAAAGACGGTACACGCACTTCTACAATAGATATGATAAATATTTTGTGCTCCTGAATATATAGTTTGATTGAAAATTACGGTTATATCTTTTAATTGCTTCTACTACTGATTCTTCGTTTTCAAATGTGATCTCTGCAAAAATACTTAGTTGAGCATTATTCCTTTTACTTTTAACAAAACAGATGGATGGTTCCTTTGTTTGTTTATCAATCTAAAAAAGAAATAATAGGACTTTAAATTCGTTTGATAAAATTTGCCTTTTTGGTTACTTTGATTGGACCAATTGTGCTAAATTCATCCCATAGTGTATCGAACAGAAGTTGCTCCTCTATAGTCGAAGGTAGACCATTAATAAATATCGCATTCTTTTTGAACAGTCCTCCATTAGCAAGACCCCCAACATTAGGTGTGTGATTACCAGGTTTGTTAACACCAGGCTCGCCAACAAGAGATCCGCTAGCAACACTGTTTGTATCATCTGTGCTTTCAGATTCCTCGTCACTGAGCACTTCGCCTAGAAAAGCAAGAAAAGAATGTACATTTTGTGAGTGTTCGAAGTGAGTAAGATAGTATAGCTTAAAGCTAACGTAAGTCGAAAGTTCAGTATTTAAAAATACAATGAAACAAGGTATGGGTGTGGGCGCCGGAGAGAGTGTAGTTCTCCAAGACATGAGAAGCCATCCACGCCTACTTACATCCAGACAAATAAGCTTTTATCACTCCACTTATGTATGCTCAGACAAATGTGAGTAATAGATGACTTAATCCTAGAACGTTACGTTTGTTACCGTAGGATTGCAAATAGTTCTTCTTTTTGAAATCGAACAAAAACATGAGAAGTGTCAATCAAGTTGATTGCTAATAAAAGCTTGACCTAATCAGACTTCTGATATGGAGATCAGTACAAGCACTCTCAATAACAAACGTTTTTCTACTACAATTGCTTACTTGGTAATGGTAGAACTAGTTCTAGTTGTCGTTGTGGTAATACAGCAGATTTCATTTTCGACTGTTTCACACCAATTCGAGCATTATTTAACGTCAGTACACACATTTCTAGAATAGATACGATAAATATTTTGTGCTTCTGAATACACAACTTGATTGAAAATTACGGTTATATTTTTTAATTGCTTCTTCTACTGCTTCTTCATTCTCAAATGTGATCTCCGCATTACCACTCAGTTCATCATTATTCTTCTTACTTCTAAATAAAAAGACGCATGATTTCTTTGTTTGCGTATCAATCTAGAAAAGAAATAACAGGACTTTGAATTCGTTTGATAGAATATGCTTTTTTAGTTACTTTAATTGGACCAACAGTACCAAATTCATCATATAGTGTATTGAACAGAAGCTGTTCTATCATAGTCGATGGTAAACCACTGATAAATATCGCATTCTTTTTGAACAGTGGTGTATCATTTAAATTGCCAGCAACAGATTTACTAGCAACAGATTCACTAATAACAGATTCACCAGTAACGGATTTACTAGCAATAGATTCATCAGCAACGGATTTACTAGCAACATATTCACCAGCAACAGATTTACCAGTAACAGATTCACCAGCATTAGATTCACCAGTAACAGATTCACCAGCATTAGATTCACCAGTAACAGATTTACTAGCAACAGATTCACTAGCATTAGATTCACCAGCAACGGATTTACTAGCAACATATTCAACAGCAACAGATTTACTAGCATTAGATTCACCAGCATTAGATTCACCAGCATTAGATTCACTAGCAACACTGTCTGTATCATCCGTGTTTTCAGATTCCTCCTGGTTGAGCTCTGGACCTACAAAAGCGATAAAAGAAACTATATTTTGTGAGTGTTTGAAATGAGTAAGATTCTATAGCTTGCAATTAACCCCTTCTTTCTTATAGCTAAAGTCTAAGGTTTGAAACTGTAATTCGTTCATAATTGTGATCACAATGATCTCTAATATGCACACGAAAAGTTTGGATTGGATCGATTAAGTGCTAATATAGTTGAAATATTAGATGTGACGTGACCTTATCACACGCCATAACACAGTACATTTGTTTGAGCAGCAAATATAAATATTATGAAGAATTTTATATTCAGATAATTGATATACAATCTGCAATAGATGTGTCTTAATGCAGTATTAAATCAGTTCCTATATCTTATAGCTCAAGAGAACAAAACTTTAAAAAAATAATACCTAGGATATGGTCTTCGTTTTCTTTTGCTAGCAACTGTGGATTTGGTACTTGTTCGTTGAGCGTGTCTTCCTCAACTGGCAACTCTGGATTAGTTGTTTGTTTCTTGAGCGTATCTTCCTTCGGCGTGTCTTCCTTTACTGGCAACTCTGGATTAGTTGTTTGTTTATTGGGCGTATCTTCCTTGGGCGTGTCTTCCTTTACTGGCAACTCTGGATTAGTTGTTTGTTTATTGGGCGTATCTTCCTTGAGCGTATCTTCCTTGGACGTGTCTTCCTTTACTGGCAACTCTGGATTCGGTGTTTGTTCCTTGGACTTGTCCTTCTTCTCCTCTACTGGCAACGCTGTATCCTTCTTTGGTATACTGTCGATTAGTTCCTAAAAATAAACGGTATAAACAGTTATAAGCTAGCAAAGATCAGTAGAGACCGGTATGAGATGATATAAAGTAGTATAGGTCGATATAAATATATTACCATTTAATATCGGTCCATGCCGTTTTATACGGATCTTCGAGAATGGTATCGAAACAGTAACTCGCTATCGACGCTCTATGTCCTCTCTCAATCGACACATATACTCACGTCAGATCTTCCCACCATCATCCCTAATCAATATTCACACTCATACCTTACCTTTTGCATTGCATTACATATTGACTCAATTTTGGTTGAGACAAGTTTAATCTTCGGCCAATTTGTTGTCCATTCTGTATGGAACGCTTCGTTGCCACAAAATATGTAGATACCAACTAAGTTTGGCATATGATGAATCTGCGAGACAAGATCTTTGCCTAGAGAACCGGAACAGATGATTAACACCTTCTCGTTATTCATGCCATTGAGCAGCTTGATACATTGTTCTGATTTTGTACAAGTTTCTACTTTTTTAACGGCTTTGTGCAACTCAGAGAGTGTATCTTGAGAATCTTTGTCATTTTCACCAATACTTCCATCGGTCCAGATGAGCAAATGATCTTCAATCAGTGGCGTGGGCTGCGGTACATCCGGTGGTGATACTACGTCCACTAGTTGCTTGGCGAGTTTGTATAGAAATGCCATTTACAGTAGTCTACTTCACAATATGCCCTTCAACAATAAATGAAAAAAGAAAAGAAGAATATTCAACAACATAATTTGCGATGGGTGTGGGTGTAAGTGTAGGTATGAACGTGGGTGTGAGTATTATATTTTATTTATACGCACACCCACACCTTCGATCTAGCGGTGGATCGACCGGTCTGAAACTCGTACTGCACTGAATCCGACCGCCTGTGGTTGACCTAGGGAGTTCTAAAGAAAAAACAGCTTTTGTCCTCTAATCGGAGGAAGTGGGTATGGATTTTTACAAATATAAAGTTTTTTACGCAACGATGTGTTCTATTATTCTACATGAAAAAGAATGCGAGAGTGGGGACTTCAGGCTGTTAATTTTAGGTGTTAGTGTGGATATAGAGTTGGTAGAAGGGGAATGAGAATGGTGAGATTTGGATGCAGTGAGAGCTCACGTACACACTCATAATCCCAGCCGCTGCTACAGTTACAGCTCCAAGGATACGAATAATCACACTCTCACTCTCTGCTACTTTTTACATAGTGAATTGTTTTCTGTTGTTTACTTTAAATTTGTGTACACATGCCATTTGCTACCCTCAACCGAATTCAAAAATCGAAAGTAATCAGGAGAATAGAAGAAAAGAAGAAAGAGAAGCGACATACAATAGATTTAAAAGGTGCCACGTCACTGTGATGCAAGAATAACAAACGAATCGCCGAAAAAAATTACCTCTCTGGTAAAAACAGAAGCAGTCAACGTCAGAAAGAAACAACATCGCAGTTTATTTGGTAAGTTTGATTTTCAATGTGTAATTCTGGTAGCTTGCTTATCAGAAGCATTGGAGGGATTTGATAAGTGTTTTACATCTTATAAAGAGAACGATGATATAATCTAGAAATAGAACTCACGTCGGCTATTAGTGCTCTGCCTGTCTAACTTTTTTCTCTGTTTTTACCCCATAAAACTGCTCAAACTTCTGGATTGCACAAGAGAACCTCTTCAGATGATAGAAATCTTTAGGATCTAAAGTACCCCTGTCTTAGAGATCCCAGTTAGTGGTGAAATGTCCTAAATTGATTCATCGCCGTAGCGCTTTCTAGAGAAATGATGACGATTTTATGGGTTCGTCGAAAAATTTCGCACACAGAAATGGGAAAGGTATTTATAAAAGGCTGAAGAGCTGTAAAAGAATGGGAATCCCATCAAAAACAACAACTACACTCCAACCACTTAATGTTGTTTTTTACCACGAGTAGAAAGGTATTGCTTGGCGTGCTTACGATCGAGCCATCCTCAGTATAGGGGTATCTAGATGGCCCAACGGGATATCCTTATCAAACTTCGGTTTCCGTCTAGAGGGTGTGGGTATGGGTGTGGGTGTAGGTGTCAGTGTAAGGTTAACATAATACTACAAGTACCCACACCCACCCTCTTCGATATTCTGTTCTACTTTAAGAATATGTATATGTAAACGGAATAAAACAACGGTATACTTTTTATTTAGTTTGTGCTTCACAAACCATTCAATGAATTATTTGAAAACTATATTTTGGTCATCGGTAAAACCTCCAGGACTTATCGACAATGAAGAAAACGAAACACGCACACAAAGTTCTACAGATGAATCTGACAAATTGTCAATGCTATTTGAAAGTTGTAAGGAAAAGGCTCTTGTTACACTTGAAGAAGCTATAGAACCTATCGCTTTCTGTGTACCGGGCGTGAAAGAAATGGCTAATGAAGCAAAGACAAGGTCCAATGCTCTTTCAATGTGTGATGTACCCGTGGAGCAAATATCCGCAATTATATTATATACAATGGAGTCGAAAGTTCACGAAGAGAGTGTTTACTACATTTTGAATCAGAAGCTACGAAGGACAAATCTTCAAGAACTAGAACCTTGGCTTCTCTATCTGCGATTAATTCTTACTGCACTGGCGCACATCCCATCAAGTATGAACGTTATTTATCGCGGAGTTAAAAAGGACATGAGAAATGAATATCCAGAAGGAAAGACATTGTTTTGGTGGGGATGTAGTTCTGGCACAACCACGCTCAGTGTACTGCAGAATGAATCATTTTTGGGGAAAAAAGGACCAAGAACTATTTTTGCAATTCAATGTTACAGTGGCAAAGATATTCGGAGTTATTCCAAGTATCAAGCAGAAGATGAAATACTACTTCCAGCTGCAAGACAATTTAAAGTCGTTGGCTGTCTTGACCAGGGTGGAGACCTTTATATAGTACAATTGAAAGAAATTAAATCTCCATTTGCACTTGAGTACTTTGGACCCAAAGCCATAGGTAAGATTCGAATGAATTGTAATTCTTTTGTTGTCATTCGGATCACAAATCTCAGTCAGAAGATAGAAGAAGTCGAATGCAAGTTAATGCTTCTACCAGATCTGTCGGAAATCTTCGGCAAATACCGTCTTTTCCCGTAAATTCTTGCGAATTTCTTAAATAAAACCTCCAAGTAGATGCCGTGGGAGACATCAAGGATTTTATAGGAAAATCTAGTTAGAAAACATAGTATCCAAAAATTTTCTCTCCACTTTCGCAGCTGCACCGCAACCGATACTTCACAGAATCGGCTAGCACGTGCCTACAAACTAATAAGTCATACAAACCATTTTCTAATCAATAAGTTAACACAGTTCCTAGAATAAGTAGTCGGTAAGGTCTTTCTCTATCAAAACTGCTGTAGCGGTCATAAAACTGCCTAGTTTCCGAGAGTGTGGTGAAGCCCTTTGGTATTACGTTTTCCGAGTAGATTTTCAGCAAAAGAGTGTGATGGCGAGTGTACGACTAATAGATTCATCACTTCCACTCCCAAAATTTCAAGATCACAGAAGTTCTACAAATGTAAGTTATAAATAAAAATAAAACTTAATTTTTATTGATTTCTGATAACTGTTATGAATTTTCTTGTTTTCTATGATGTTCTATATATTTAGTGACCATTTTTAATTTCGATTTACCTTGCATAATTTTTCTTTATTTCTGAACATTTCCTATGATTTCTGACAATGTATCACGTAAACCTAACAACGAATTTATAGAAATCGAAATCACTGAAAACCATGAGAAATTAAGAAAAAAACAGTTTTCTTTCTGTTAGCATGTACTGTGATTCTATGAGTAGCCGGATAATAAGTCTCTAATTATAGCGGAAATGCACGCACAACGACCCAGACTCTTTAGTCATAAATGATCGATTTTGCGTGATTATCGCTTGCAAAACCTTTTTTAATTTGAATTTTGTACGATATCTTTTTCTACATTTGCAGTCGTAGTTCCAGAATGTCGCAACGGTAGTCGATGTTATAGAGCTGATTGCGAATACAAACACCCGGACGGATGGAGTGCTTGTGGTAATGGACGTGAATGTGACAAATATGAATGTGATTCAATCCATCCACCTGGTCGCAAAAAATGCATGCATGGAAATATGTGCCAAACTCCGAACTGCCAATTTCTTCATCCGACGTCACGTAACGAAAATTATTAATTGAATTAACTGACCGTGAATATTATTTTCTTGAATGTTTAGGTAACAAAACCCTAAGTACAGCAGGTAAAGAACATGTTTTTAAGAAAGTAAAAAACATCTCGAGGGTGGGGATGTGGATGTAAGCGTGAGAAATAGTATTTACACCCGCCTCACACTCTCAGTGAAAACACGAGAAATTAAGAAATGCACATGCAGTGTTTCCGATTTTTTAGTTACAAATAATCGATTTTGTGTGATTATTCCTGCAAAAATCATTTTAATCTGAATTTTATACGATATCTTTTTCTACATTTGCAGTCGTAGTTCCAGAATGCCGCAATGGTATTCGATGTTATAAAGTTGATTGCAGATTCAAACATCCTGACGGATGGGATGTTTGTGCTAGTGGACGTGAATGTGACAAATACGAATGTGATTCAATCCATCCACCTGGTCGCAAAAAATGCAAGCATGGAAATGTGTGCCAAACTCCGAACTGCCAATTTCTTCATCCGACGTCACGTAACGAAAATTATTAATTGAATTAACTGACCGTGATTATTATTTTCTTGAATATTTAGGTAACAAAACCCTAAGTACAGCAGGTAAAGAACATGTTTTTAAGAAAGTTACAACCATCCCGAGGGTGCGAGTGTGGATGTGGACTTTAACTGATACTCGCACCCATACCCACATTCATGCCCAACTCCAATCAGAACTAAAACACATTTAAATAAATACTCACCCTCATCTTCCCTCCCCTCATGAATACGAGTAGAATAGCCATTTACCTCATGATCATATTTTCTTCACGAGCAAAAGCTGCTGTTCACGCTGAGACTCGATCTCTAATCTTTGTCTCCAAAAGATAGTACCACACAAGTGACTCTACAATTACAGGTACTAATTATAAACTTCAATTATTTACATTTCCTTCTGTATCTTCTGCTTTTTCATTGCCTTTTAGTAATTAGTTCTATTTTCAGCAGAAATATTGCCATGAAGGCATATGTTTTTTTCTATTTTCATTAGTTAACAACATGAAAGCAGATAAACATAAAACGAATACATGTGATCAAGACACTGTTCTACGTGCAAAAAGTAGAAACGAAGCTTCGGCTGGAGCCAGCGAATCGAATGGTAAGTAAAGTTATCCACTCTGCGGCGTAAGTGGGTGTGGATATAGTTGTGCTTCGCCACAGCGTTCAGAGTGACACTCATGCGCGCTCGAATCATTCCCGGAACATGTACAATTTTTGCTCAATGACAATAGGAATCATTCGCTCTCGGAAGTATTTGTGATGCAGATACAGATAAAATTCTGCGAGAGCGACAATTTTTTGTGCTGTTTCCTGCGGGAATCTAGAACGGAAAGGATTAAAAAAGCAACGCTCCCTAAAATTGTTTCGTTTTATTTTTGTATGCATTGACATTTATTTGAATAACAGCTTTCTGTTTTCAATGACTATTTTAACATATAATTAATAGAAAAGATATTAAATATCGATCAATAAAAATTTGACAAACTCATATATGGATCATGAAAATCGTAAATTAACAATCAGAATTATCATTTTTTTATCGCCACAACCTTCGGAAATGCTATTTTCAACGTTACCTTGCGATGCAAGATCATCATCTTGTACTGTTGAGTGTTAGCCTATTCAATAGTGTTGTCGATGTATTGCTGCTTATTCTTTTTTTTAATTCTTCTACTGCCGATGGAATAATTCTCTTACACTCTAGGAAAAATCGATTTACTACTGATTCTGTATCCAAAGGAAGAACCTTTGAAGTTTCGCACCATCTTGACAAGCTACAAAAAAGGTTTACCAGATTAGTATCTAATCTTTTTACGTTCGCTTAACTGTTACAAAACCTCAAAGGTTCCTCCGCTGGGTGTAGGCTCAGTAATAAATCGATTTTTGTAGAGTGCAGGGCCGATAAACAAGAAAAAAGTGAAACTCGGTTATGAGACTTGAGAATCTTTGAGAGCGCGAAACGAGGACTGAGGAAAGTTGTTCCTGTAGAACTCCAGATACCGAACACATCTGTGTTTGATCGTGTTTCTTAACTTGAGGGGAACACCCATACACTCGTGGTCATGTTGTCTGTGAGAGCAAAATCTGTTGTTCACACTGAATACTGAGCTCTACACTTTATTTTCATGTGATTTCAACTATATCAGCAACACTATAGTGTCAGACACAGTCTATGAACTTGGATTACTGATGTTTATTTTCTAGGTTTCTTTCTTTTAATAACGACTTTAACGTCTAGTGATATGTTGATGTAATATTGTATCGTAAACAATTGTCTCGTTCTTTAGTTGCATCAGATGACGATCCGACAGAATACAAAGATGCAGAGGATTCCTTTGATGAAAACAAGGAAAAAGGTGCACGATGTTTGGAACAAAAGATGGCTGATGTGAATCTGTCTAATGGTAAGTAAACTTATGCGTTCACGTACTCATTGTGTGAGTGTAGATGTGGGATGAGCGGCTTCTCATGACTTTCAGAACTATAACCTCATCGCCACCCACACCATCAATCAATTTGTGTATTCAGGGGCACAACATATGTATCGTATGTATTCTAGAAATGCGTGTACCGACGTTAAATAATGCTCGAATCCGTGTGAAGCGACCGGAAATGAAACCTGGTGTATTACGACAACAAAAGCCAGAAGCACTACCGAAGCCAGTAGTGCCATCGCCAAGTGAGTATTTGTAGTAAAAAAACGTTGAGAGTGCTTGTACTAATCTCCAAATCACAAGTTTGAAGTTGAGTTTTTGTTTTCGATCAACTTGACAATATGGGTGTGAGTGTGGGTTGACGGCCAGGGTGGATGAAGGTGTTAGTTTAGATTCATCTTTTCTTTACTCACATTCACACCCGACTATGACATTTTTTGTTGTACTTGTAAATACCACACTATCAACTTAATTGCAAGCTGTACAATCTTACTTATTTCGAGAACTCAGAAAATGTAGTTTATTTTCTTCCTTTTCTAGACCAAGGACTCAAACAGGAGGAATCTGAAAACTCTGATGATACAGACAGTGTTGCTAGTAAATCTGTTGCTGGCGATTTAAATGATACATCAATGTTTAAAAAGAATACAGTATTTATTCGTGGTTTACCATCGACTATGAAGAAGCAGCGTCTGTTTGATACACTATGGGATGAATTTTGTACTGTTGGTAGAATTAAAGTAACCATAAAGCATATTCTATTAAATGAATTTAAAGTCCTGTTATTTCTTTTCTAGATTGATGAAGAAACAGAGAAGCCATCCATCTATTTATCTAAAAATAAAAAAAATAAGGTTCAACGAAGTCGTAATGCAGAAATTACATTTGAAAACGAAGAAGCAGTAGCTGAAGCAATTGAAAAATATAACGGTAACTTGGAATCAATTTGTGTATTCAGGAGCACAAACTATTTCTCGTATGTATTCTAGAAATATGTGTACCGACGTTAAATAATGCTCGAATTGATGTAAAGCAGTCGAAAATGAAGCCTCATGCATCACAACAGCTGCAACTAGTACTACCATTACCAAGTGAGCATTTGTAGTAGAAAAGCGTTTGTTATTGAGAGTGCTTGCACTGTCTTCTAAATCAAAAATCTGATGGAGTCAAGTTTTTGTTTCAAATCAACGTGATTGGTACTTCTCAGGCTTTTGTTTAATTTCAAAAAAACATTATTTGTTATTCTATGGTGAGAAACTTAACGTTCCAGGATTAAGTCCTCTACTACTGATAATCATCTCAGCGATACACATGTAGATGGAATGTACTCTTTCATAAAAAGAATTATTTTTTACGGGTGTGGGCTTAGGTGTGGAACGGGTGGTCTCTCAAGGCTTTAAGAACTACACCCTCACCGACATCCACACTCGCACCCCACATCCTCTAGCCAACTTACGTGATCAGGAATACAACATATCTCGCCTGTCTACTTTAGGACAACGTATATCGAACTTAGATAATGTCGAAATCCATGTGAAAATGGTGAAAAAGAAAGACCATAATCCATTGCCTCAACCAAGTGAATTAATGACAACAACACAAGTAACCATTCCTGCAAGATTAACTCGTAAATTACTTTTTTAAATTTTCATATTTACTTTCTACAACAGAACTTTATTAACTATTTGTTTTTAGGTTTTGTCATCGGCCCAAAAGGTTCGAAAATATCACAAATTCGTCAAGAAACAGGAGCAACAATAAAAATTGATAATAAACTAGTGTCAGGCACCAATGATCAATTAATAACAATAACAGGTAATCCAGATCAAATTCAACAAGCACAACAACTTCTTCAAGAAGCTATTATCCAATCGGGAGAATGGAATCAATAATTATGTTAGCTGAAATATACTCATAATCATATAGTGGCAAATTCGAAGTGAGAAACATATCGTTTCAATTGTTTCTTCTTCGTTTTTTAATGCAATTAATTCCTGGTATATTCTCTTCTGCGTTTGGTTCCGTACAAGAAATAAAGAAAAGAACGAAAATATTATTCAAATACGTTATAACTTATAAGGTCAAAGAAAAGAATTCAGTTCGATGAGTGTGGATACGCGTGAGTGTGGTTAGATGTATGAGGAGTAGTGTGAATGTGTAAATAATTCTTCTGTCGAAGGTATCATCAATTTGAGCATATTTTTATTTTCTTATAAGAACGAAAAAATAGCCTATATATTTATCATATAATATTAGATGGAAAAATAAAACTGCAAAATTGATGAAGCTTAATCATGATTGAATTAAAAAACATTAGGTAAATAAAGGTATTTTTTGATAAAAAATAAATGTTTACTTCTTTCCTGTTATTCATAATGAAGTGTTTCGTTATTATCAAAGTTAATAGAAGAAAAAAAAGCAGAATAGTTCTATTCTTTTATCACTGCATATCTGTGATACATACTAACACGTTTATCTTTTATATCCAATATAATTATATTATGGGATAGTGGAAACTAGAGTATGGACGAAATAAAATATTCACACCCTCAAGATGTCGCAAGAATGAATATAAAGTATCTTTATAAGTGGATCATTGTGACGATATTTTATATCGTCTTCGACTGAATATCAACTAATTATTTGATAATATTAAAGTTGCAATAGATACTTACAATTAGATTTTGTTTTTCAAAATTACAGATTTATTCACGGGAGCTTAAATTTATAGAGTAAAGAGTAGGTTTTAAAAATATATCGCTCTGGCATGGAAAATACTTTAACTTTGGAGTATTAAGTCTTGATGCATTCAAAATTTAAACATATAATCAGAATAGTTTCTAATATTGACGTCATTCTCACATTTATAGATCTTTCTCTGAATCTTCATGTTCATTTTTAACATGAAAATATTAAGATTAATTATCGGAATATAGAATAGTCTCCTAAAGTAATAAAGCTAGATTGTTCTCATTATACAAGCAACAAATCAACATGCAAAAGATCAATATTAGTATGTTTTTATTAGTATTAAGAAAATAAACAACATGAGCAGAATCTATAGGAACAAAATAAGTAAAAAGAAATAAAGTCTGTATGATGATATTAGTAGAATGATAAGCATTGTTATAAGCCGCCCGATATGTGAAACGTTCTGGTCTTGTTGCTGTTGTCGTTGAACAATATAGTTGAACAACAACTTCAATAGGTTTGCTTTCAGTCAAGATTAAATTACGAATTTCATTTTTTTTCTTGACTCGGTGCACCTCGATTGATATTAGGACTTTGTGGGAAAATATTATAGTGACTTCGAACAGTACCACCTAATTGTTTCCCAATAATATGATTAGCGTCATCCGTCGGTTTTTCCATTGCTCGTGCAAATTGTCGAGAAGCCTTATTAGTTGTTGAACCTTTGCTTTGTACAGTTTGAACGATAATATCTATATTCAATAAAATAAAACAAATAAAGCATTTCAAAAGCTATAAATCCAAAAATTTATTCGAAAATATTTCTCATAATCAAGAACTGAAGCTAACATTTGTAAAGTGAAGCCGCTGTACACTCATTCCTAGAAATTCCTCTCTATTTCAAATCATCTAATATGAAAAGCATATTGTTATTTTTTACGTTTATTAATACATTTTTTATTGATATATATCCTAAATCAGGTAAATAATGAAACAAAACTCTTTCATCTTTCTCAAGCATGATCTAACGATTTGTTAATAAAAATGTGTGAGATCTGGTAAACAAAACGATACGTATGCTACTAAAAAATACTTTTTTATATTTTGTAACGCATTACATGTATATACACCTTACGTTAATAGTTGGTTATAAAAAAAACTAGATTTTAAATTTTAACTTTAGAAAAGTTAGGATAACAATTTCTATGATGAATTAGATTGTAAAATAAATAATACGATAGAAAATTTTATCAGAGATTTATCTAATCGAAATAAAGAAGTTGTACCAGATATAGATGAATTTTTAATTTATATTTTGCTTTATCAACAAAATAACAATTTGATGAAATCAAAGAATATGATTATAAAGAATATTTTGCTAGACAAATATAATGGATTCATCGAAATCGTATTAATATTTTATTTAAAAATAGTTCAAACATTTACTTTTTCAAACGTTGAACGTGGTTATTAAAAACTATTAAAGTTTTGAATTAATATAGTGAATTTATAAAAACAAACAAGGTTGTACAAATATATTATCATATGCTGAACAACAAGATTAAAAATAATATAATGGAAATAGCAGATATTATATAATTACTTATGTCTTATTTAAAACTTTCTCTAGTAAAGTTTATTTATAATTATATAGAATTGTATTTTTGATATTAAATATAGTTAGTTTATTATCAATAAAGTGTACATTATAATTGTTCCCAGTAACGACAATATATATTGATCTGTCTTACTCCACTACTTTCACATATGCATACTATTTTGCATGAATTTAAGTTTCGAATATTGAAATATAATGCTGTCTTGCACAACGATTCTATAATTTTTCTTAACAATTATTTCTCTTAATACACCCTGGATTGAGTATATCGAAATAAATAAGACATAAAATTTGATATTCTAATTCTTTCAATGTATATCAATATAATACACAGTTATATAAAAATAGAGTGAAATAGAAATCAAAAAGATATATAGTTTATTTATATTTAATATCTTTTTTTTATTACAAGAGTCTATAGACATAACGAATAAGAGTATATTTACGAAAATGTTTTTTTTCTTCCTATCTTTGTATTCTATAATCATACACGTGTTATAAACAACATAAAAATATTTTTCTCCCTTTGATTTTTCTATCACTCACCTATTGTGTTCATATTCTCACTTTGTTTATACTTTTATAACGATTATAGATGGATTTTGTATGTCTGAACAGTATACAGTGAAGAAATACTCAAAAACATGTTAGTTTATTTAAAAAAATCATAGTAGATATGAATATATTTGTACTTCATTGAAGAAATCTATTAATATATTATATATATATAACAGAGATGTCCATGGCGGCGCTGCCGCTGCCGCTACCGCTGCCGCGCCGCGACCGCCGTGGCGTTCGCGGCGCGGCAGCGGCAGATTTTTTTCGAAACTGTCGCGGCGCGGTAGCGGTGCGGCAGCAACTTTTATCATACAGTCGCGGCAGCGGCGCGGTAGCGGCAGCTTTTTGAGGACACAATTTTAAAAAATCACGAAATTCACACATAAATCGACATTAACGTATTCTGCAATGTAAAGCTAGAGGAATCTCATCGATTAGCAGCAACAGCTCTCGTTTAAACCACTCTCAGCCTTGAAAATCGGAAGATTTTTAAAAGTCCCATCGCGGCAGCGTCGCGGTAGCGGCAAATTTTTATAGGGGCGCGGTGCGGCAGCGGGGCGCGGCACGTTTCGTTTTGCTATAGTCGCGGCGCGGCAGCGGCGCGTTAGCTTTTTTAACATATCGGCGCGGCGCGGCAGCGGCAGACTCTCAACCGCGATGGACATCTCTGATATATAACACTAAAATAATATTAAACGATATTTCGTACATCTTTTCCTTAAAGTGTAAAAATGATGTGAAATAGAATTAATAAATTTTTGAAAATAGATATTTTTTTCTTATTATTATTTTAATCGTATAATTGAATCTTGATAATTACTTGATACAAATTTCAATCTAATTGTCGCTCTCTTTTTTCGAAATATCTATAATTTAACTTCACTTAATGATATATTATCAATCAAGTTTAATTATATAATGCATTTTTATTTCTTTACAGCAGTTTTTTTATATTTTTTTTAAATATTAACAATAAATATAAGTTAATATATTAAATATTAATTTTAATAAAAATTCATGAAGTACATCTAATATTCTAACATGTAAAGAAATATGATATTGAAATATTTTCTTTCGTTTTTTTAGATAGTAATTGAAATATATGCCTCCACCTTATTCTGAACAATCGGGAGAATTTTGTTCACCATGTGGACAAATATTTAATAAACACTAAATATTTTCTCTTAAAGATAAAACATATAACAAATGATATCAAACCGTTAGGCAATGGGTATCTGTAATTTTAATATAGATTTTTCGAATAAGATTTTTAATTTATCTATACTAGGTGTGGGTTTTGATGTATCCTATGTATACTTACAGTCACATCCTCAACATGCTTAGAATTCATGAAACAATTTCAAATAATTTCAAGCAGAAATATTATTGATATTATTATACATTATAAATAGAATGTTTTATGAATTGAGAAATATTTCATACTACGTGAAGGATGAATATGTGTTTCACATTATAACAGATTGAAAATAGAATATCTCATTACATTGAGTATAATTTCTAGTGTTGGGCGGTGAAGTTCTGTATAATGTTTGATGTTATGATTTACTATTACAGGTGGTGTGACTAATGTTGAATAGAATTTAGATAAGATTGAAGATTAATCTAATTAACATCGTCTTATAGTCATAACTATAGTCTTCGAAGGTGAATTATAGTTTTTGATTGTTTAGCTGTTTTTTGGCGTACTCTATTACGGTCTAGGAGGAGAAATTTCGAAAAATGAAATTGAAATAGCTTATGATTACGCATGTTGGTGGTGTAATGTATGGGCAGATTTATTCTCTTTCTCGTAAGAGAAGAGTCCAGTAAGAATAAATTGTTTGCTTGCTTGTGTGTCCGCAGGGTCAAAAAAACATTGGAATTTAATTTTTCAGATACTTCCGGAAAACTTTGACTGGGGGGTAATCGAGGGTGGGGAACTTGAATCTGAGGTTAGTTTATTAAAATTAATTAGTTAATAATCAGTTAATAATTGATATTATTAGTTTTTGAAAAAAGTTTGACCGAAGGGTAATCGAGTGCCAATAATTCGAATGTGAGGTTAATTTTAGTTAAAAAACAATTAATAATTAATTAATATTATTAATCTTAAAGATAGCTCCAAGAAAGTTGTATCAGAGGGTAATTCGAGAATCGATTTTTTAGAAAAGACATTTTTGGGATATTTCGATGCGAAGACTTCGAATCTGATGTTAGTTTTATAAAATAATTTTATGGATCACTTTTTTATGGAGAGAACCAATTTATATAAAAAAAAATTTTCATAAGGGTGACCGAAGGGTAAGCGGGATGGAAGAACACAAATCTGGTGTTAATTTTTCCAAACTGTATAAGCAAAAAGTTTAGTATTGTAGAATACGATTTCTACGAGAAAGAGCTGAGCGAGTCCGCAGACGAGCGTTACTTGTTTGTATAATACAAGCACAATAAAAAATGGATAATGAAGAGCGAACAGGTGAGAAACAGAACAATTGAAAAAAATAGGAGATAAAGAAAAAGAGTGATAAAAAGAAAAAGTGATGAAGCGAGGAACAAAACAATATACATAGGATGAAAAACAGATAGTCGCAGCTGAAAAGGTGAGGATCTGGACAATTAAAGAAAATAGGACATAAAGAGAGTGAGTGATTATAGAGAGCATAGCAGAAGTAGTCAGTCATAAGATAATATAAGTAGGATGAAAAGGAGATAATGATAACAATAACAATAAAAGGTGAGGATAAGAACGATTAAAAAAATAGGACATACAGAGAGAGAGTGACTGGTAGAGGATACGCCAACGTAGTGAGCTATAAAGCAATAGAAACAGGATAAATAATAATACATAATCGTACGCGAACAGATAAGGGTCAGGGCAATTAAAAAAGTAGGACATAAAGAGAGAGAGTGTGCCTGTATGTGTTGGAAAGGGAGAAAAATATAGCAACGGATATGCAAGAGAGCTAAGCGTATATAACAGACGTACACTGCTGTGCATATCATTCATTTCAAACACAAATCGTATACACGCAACACAATAAAGGTAAGGTATTTGTTTTAGGTTTTTTACTCGTAGTCAATCGCAAGAGAAGTATTATAGGTCTAATATAATTTTAAAAATATGTACTGAGATCGATTGAACATTTACCGTGCATAAAGAAACGTATAGATTACATTTTAACGGTTCACAATTGCAGTTCCTACGATTGGTGATGATATTGATGTTGGGTGGTATTGTTGTGTATGATATTGTCGGATATTAATATCGATGTTGAGTTGTATCGCTGTGTATAATGTTGTTGGATAATGGTATTGCTATTGAGTGGTATTGTAGTGTATGATGTTGTTAGATATTGATATGGGGTAGTATTGTTGTGTATGATGTTGTTTATGTGTTACACTGTTTTCTAAATCTCTTTTTGAACATATGATTATATTTCAAATGCTTTTCTAAGTTCTACTTAAGGATACATAAGCGGTTGATATATATTCTTTTTAGTCGATCAATTTGATTTAAGATAGTTAATCTTTTAGTGAATATGATATCAGTGGTATTTTTGATCTGTTGTATTTATGCTGTTGCATGAGATTATTTAGTTTTATAAATTTGTTTTATCGCTTTGTTGATTTTAGAATTAGTATTCTATTCTGTAGAAAGTGCGTTATTATTAGGAAACATAGTGGAATAATTTTGTCTTCTTTTACATCTTTAAATATTAAAAATATTAGTTAGTCAAAAGACAAAAATAACATTTGATGTTTATTTTAGACATGGGTAATTACCTTCAAAATTTTCGTGGTAATACTGACGATAGGCCTAGAGAAACCAGGTATGAGTATATGACCATTAATCGTTGTTTCCTATGCTTCACATCTCTTTTTTTAGACGAAGAGCAAGATGGTTACCAATAGCAGCTTTATGTATAGTTTTGGTGGTAGTATTCCTCATTGCTGTTATAATAGTTTGTTCATTGATCCCATTGTACGTATCGAAGAAAGGAACTGGTGTAGTAGCAGATAAGGCGCTTAGTGGTAAAGAACATATTATTTCTACTAATCGTTTCATTCTACTTTTATATTTTTTTTAACAGCTGGAACTTTTAATATGGCATTTGCTACTGATTTCAGCAGTAGCACTGGGGAATCAATTACTAATGATGATTCACTTACTCGTCAAGTACGTTTTTATTTTTTCTGATGTGATATGCAATATAAATATTTTTCTTTTACAGTTCAATCAAAAAATGGGGTACTCGAACGATGTCTTAAGTGTAAAATCGGTTTCCTTGGGAACTGGTAGCATTACAAGCACCAAGAGGCGAAAACGGCAACTACGGTTAGCTACTTTAAAATCTTCTTTGTTAAATGAGAACTTTTTCATATTATTCATTCTTTTAGAGATGCAGTATCTTGCGATGCAGTTGAAGCAGATTCTAATGTAGGCAAAGGTGACAAACTCATAATTGTAATCATCATCAATGAATGCCCAAAAACTATGTGCAGGACTGCTAGTTGCTTTACGCAATGTATACCTCCAACCAAGACCGATATGCAATCGAAACTTAGCTCGACTTCATTCGATATTGTAACAAATCTTGGATCATACACAGTTTCCGTTCGATTTTGCACGTTTGGTCAAGTGCTTTTAGGTAAGATAGATAAATCAAAATAAATACCTTGTGAGACTTATAAAAATCCATTTATTGAAAGATAAAGTATTTTTTCAGTTTCGACAGTACCACCATTAATATTACCAAATCTATCAACTACAAATTCAATCAACATAACATCAACACTAACAGCAACAGGTATGCCATCCACGCTACCAGCAATAACATCAACACCACAACCACCGCCACTAACTACCACCACAACTGACATATCAACTACGACAACTGCCACAGCAACTACTCAGAAAAAAATTAAGGAGTTTTGCAGAACCTTTTTAGGGGTTCAGCCCGCGGGTAAAATTCAGAACCCTTCAATAGGGTTCTGACTCAAATTAGGTTTCGTAAAAGACTAACTAAACCATTCATCTTTCCTCATCACAAAATGGTTCGGTCTAGAAAAAAGTTCTGTC